GCCTGGGGTGAGAACGCCGTTCTTTGCGTAGGAACTTAGACTCAAGAAAAGATAAACAAGACACGAACTTTCTCCAGCACCTTGGTCGAGAATGGCGTCCTTCAGGAAAGCGCGGGACGAATTTCTTGTAAGTTTTTGCGAGGAAATCATCAATGAGGATGAGTTTCTCTTGTTGTATGATGTTAACAAGGCGAAACATCCAGAATATCCTTATTGGAATTATGAAAGATTTACATTGCAAGATAAAAGTGAGGCTGAGTGTAAGGCAGATTTTCCTTTCGAAAAATACAACATTCCTCTCTTGGTTGATGTTCTTGGCCTACCTGACGAAATAAAGTGTAAACAAGGAACAATCTGTGACAGTACTGAAGGATTGTGCATTGTTCTCAAGCGGCTGGCATACCCTTGTCGCTACAACGACCTCATAAGCATTTACGGCAGACCTGTCCCTGAAATCTCCATGATAAGTAATACAGTCACTGATTTTACATTTGAGCATCATGGTCGTCGGATATCAGAGTTGAATCACACTATTTTAAATCACCATTCATTACAGACATATGCTGAAGCTGTTTCAGATAAAGGTGCGGCGTTCGACAATTGTTTCGGCTTTGTGGATGGCACAGTTCGTCCAATTTGTCGCCCAAACACCAATCAAAGAATTGTTTACAATGGGCAGAAAAGGATGCATTCCCTGAAATTTCAATCAATCGCTATTCCAAATAGACTAATTGCCAATCTTTATGGTCCTGTTGGTAAGTGTGTTTAAGTATTGCTGTATCGTTCAATTTTATTTATATTCATAAACAAGCAGTTATATAAAGAAGCTTTAGCAGTGGGCTCTACTGTTATGACACTGCAGGAATTTGAACACAAGAAAACCTGCTGGAGACCTTGGTCACAGTACGTCTTTTACATACTTCTCATATGTTGTCATATACAATCAGTGAACGTAAAATAGCAAACATGTGAGGACCACAATGAAACAGGCATATCCTCTTCGCATACACCTGCAAGCTCAGTGGAGTGGTTGTTTGGGGACATAATCAATTATTTTTGCTTTCTCGATTTTAAGAAAAACTTAAAAATACGGCTCAGCCAAATAGGTAAAATGTACATTTTTTGTGCCCTTTTAAGGAATGCCTTTACATGCTTTTATGGTAATACTACTTCCCAGTATTTTGATTTGGACCTACCCACGTTGCAAGAATACTTTGCTTAATTTAATCATTGAAGAAATATGACAACATTTTATTTGTTCAACACAACTTCAGTATGTAAACTTATGGCACAACAAAATTGAATAAAGAATAAAATGGTTGTTCAAGTTTGATAAACCTCACCATTAAAAGGAGTTTTTCTTAACAATGCAATGAATTAGTATTTCAAAAAAGCTGTAACACATAAGATTATGGCATAATGTGGTAAACAATGGAACATACTCCTGAGTACAGGGATCTAACTTTTTTTGTTCATAAGTTTGTCAACAACAGCCATGAGGATCTGAGATTGCTGCTGGTGGTACGTTAGCTCCATCATAGATTTCTCGTGATCAAGATAAGGAGCCAGCTTCTTCTCCTCCAATTCTCGCTGCTTTCGTCGTATCGCTAACTCTTCTTCTCTCAATGCCTTCTCGCTGTCTGCTTTCTCACGCAGAAATGAGATTGTTTCATTGCCACTCCTCTTTTTCTTCATATGGTTTTCCTGTTCTCCTTCCTCAACTTCTCTCTTCTGGGTTTCTCCTAACTTCTCCATTGCCATTTTTCTCATACTTCCGGCTTTCTGTTTATCAGTGTCCTCTTTCTCTTTTACCACTGCTTCATCAAACTTCTGGGAGGTGGAAGCGACTTCCTCCATTTCAATAATATTTGCCAGTGCTTGGTCCAATTCTGTAGGTTCAGGTGACACTACACTTGACCTTTCTTCAGCATTCATATTCTTCCTTTACCTCTTAATTAATGTTGAGGTGATCCCGAAGTGATCTTTTTGTTACAAAAAACCACATACCACTTGTGATATTCAGGTTGGTGCTAATTTCCTCACACAGTTTTCCTCGTTCATTGGAATTTTTTTTTGCAGAAAATGGATTCACTGAGCGAACTTCTCTGCACAGCAGAATGTCATGCTCTTTTTTCCACACCTGGACCACTGGAAAACCTGGCAATCTATTAAAGGAAAAACCAACATTACTACAATAGCCTACATTTCAAGATATATATCATCAGAGTTATTTTTTCAGTTTGTAAGCTACTGACAGTTCATGCAACTGAATTGAACAGCATTAGTTGCTGAGTTTTTTCATCTTTGCAAATTAAAATTCAACAACCACTTCATGACAAATCAAACACCATTTAAATTGTAAGAAGTTTCAAAGGTAGGTATAATTTTGTTCACATTGTCCCAAAGGAAGCAATATAATTAAAATCCTGAACTTAACTGGTCTTTGATAGAGTGTAAAAAAATTAATGTAATGGAGGCTTTATAAATAGAGGCGAGAATTCATTGCATTGCAGCATCTCCAATAGATCTATTCTCAAGCCACGGAAACAGTATAAGAGCAACCAGTAAATTACCAACTCATGAATTAAATCAAAACATGGCAATCAGGAGGCAAATATATCGAGACTTCAAAGGAAGAATTGCGGTGCTCGAAAACATTTCATTAGGCTCGCCGTGAGAGTTTGACTTCTCATTATAACTACACTCTGCTTACATCAGTCGATCTCTTACATGACATGATAAATTGATGCTCAACATGATAAATTTTTCCATTTCGTTACTAAGGAAAATATGTGGAGTCTACTTACTCGGAACTGGAATCCATTGTCTATCTATGAAATAACCAGCACTGTTAACAATAAAAAATTCAAGAGAACAGCGAAAACGGCAAAAGAAATGAATAATTTGAGCTCCAAAGACAAAAACATACTCACGTTTTATGCACGATGCAAAATTAAAAAAATGGCGTACTCACCACATCTGAAACGCCGTCCCATTCACACACAGACATGCACAGTGACATTTTTAGGCGAAAACGAACTTCTGGTGGCGACCTAGACAGATGAGGTCCTCAAATCTTAAGGTCCCTATTTACAATAAAATAACGTGGACTGATCAGTTACGGTTTATTCAGGAAGCTCATATTGTTTTTGGTCGTGGGCCGCATGACCTTCAACTTCTTGTGCTTAACGTTCTCAAATTTACACTATACTTCTCTGTGGAGAACTGTTGTCATTTTCTTACTGTTAGAATAAGGAAAATAACGCCCGGTAACCACAAGTCCGTCCTCGAGAATCTTGCTCCCGTTGATGTTTTGCTCAATTAAATAAGCCCCCCTCTCTTTTACACCCCCCTCAAAAGTGATAACTTTTTTTACCGTTTATTACCTTGTTATGAAGGATTAAGTCTATAGACGTATAGTCTGATTTTGTAAGAGCTAGCACTGATCTTTTAGTTATTTTATGCTTTATCTGTAAAAGGAGCAAAAGAAAAATGAAAGAATAAGTTAGCTGAAAGTCGTTGTTCGTCAGTAGAGAGATTATGCATCATTTTAATTCAAGAAGGTTGAGAAAATTATACTATCTTTAAACAATAAAAATAAAAATAAGAGTTAAAAGAAAGAATAAAGAAAGAAGTCACATCCATTTATTCCTTGAAGGAAAAAAAAGCAACTAATTCGCCCTAAAAAGTTCTTAATACACTGTATAATCCCTAAAGCTGGCTGCTAAAACAGGTAAAAAGTTGGCCATGATGTTATCCAATCCTCGCCATGCCTCCACATTCTGTCGCTTAAATACAACTGGAGGTCTTCTCTAGGGATGCCTCTTCTCTCCTTTACGGGTCCTTTTAAATTGTTCCAGGCAGACTCTGCCTTCTGTGTATGAACACCAGTTGTTGGGTCTACGAAGTTCTGACTATGGACAACCATGTGATGCTGGGCAATGTGGGTTGGCAAATGCCGTTTTAGGTTTCTGTAAGCTCTCCTGTCATCGCTGTAGACAATGCTGCCTGGTCAAAGGCACCTCTCTAATATGGGCTATAAAGTAGCACGATCTGTTTTGGGAACTACCTGGAAGTATCCAGGTAGCTGAATTGTTCAACAACTATTTTGTTCACATCGTTGATGATGTACAGGACATTAAAGAACACAACTTTGGAAACGATTTCAGTGCACACCCCAGCATTCGAGCAACTGCGGAGGAAAACAGAAGAAAGAACGCCATATATAATTTTAATTTTAAATACACCAACAAGACCCAGGTTGAAAAACTACTATCAAATATCAATGCCGAAAGGCCTGCGGACACAACACCATAACTCCGGGGCTTCTTAAGGAATCCGCTTCTGCGATATCTGGTCCACTAGCAGAGTTAATGAATGAATCGATCAAACAATGCAAATATCCTTCTTGATGGAAAATGGGGCAGGTAACACCTCTTTCAAGAAAAATGATGAATTGAGTAAAGACAATTATCGACCGGTTACTGTTTTACAGGCCCTAAATAATCTTTTTGAGAAACTTCTTGCTTCTCAACTAGACCAGTTCTATTCTGAAATATTGTCTGTCGGACTACATCTCAGCTTATAGGAGACACTATAGCTGTGAAACCTTGCTAATGAGGTTAACAGAAGATTGGAAGCGTAGTCTGGATAATAAACAAATTGTTGCTGTGATATCCATGGATTTATCTAAGGCTTTTGACACGATACCGCATGGACTCTTGCTCGCCAAGCTGAAGGCTTATTGTGTTAACAGTAAAAGTTGTATGCCTCTTAAAGATTGCTTACACGGTAGGATGCAGCGGGTGAAAGTAGGTGATACAAGTTCTGATTGGCAAGAAGTCAGGCAAGGAGTACCTCAAGGCAGTGTTCTTGGTCCAATGTTTTTTAATATTTTCATGAATAATTTATTCCTACAAATTAAAACTGTAGGTTATTTTTGTCGAGGTGCGGTTTCTGTTTTGAGATCCAGGTAGGCAATTTGTAAATTAATTCAAGCATAAGTCTTTCAATTTATTGATTTTAACTTTACAATAAAATCTTGCTGTCAACATGCATTGACTCACTAGACACAGCAGAATAAAAGGAAACCTGTAATTAATTTTCGTTCTTCTTTTGAGGTGTAAATGTAAGATTTCCGGTAAAACAAACGTTAACTACCAGGGGATAGCAACATGCATATTTTACGTGACAGTTATAAGCTTACTTTAATATTGGCCAACTTCTCTCTCGGAAAGCTGATTCCTTTCACTCCACTGCCTATACTAGTGTTCCATGAAACTGTGCCAAGTAGCCTCTTATTATCAAGTATCAATTATTATTTTTTGAGTCTGAATTGTATGAAATTATACACGATATATTCACATTGATTGTTTGGGTGACACTGTTTAAATACACTGTAGCTCAGTGTGTTTGAGGTCCAGTATTGGTCAGAATGAAGCCAGTACAATCAAATTGAGGTTGAACAGCTTATGTAGCAAAATAATATTGTTTTAAACTTTTGTATCCTTTGTGAAATAAGACTACAATATTAGAGCCTGTTGAACATTAACAGTTTAAAGCTGTAAAACCAGTCTCGCCCCTGAGATCTGATGGCTGTTGTATATTTATGCATAAACGCTAAATGTCAAATCTTGTGAGCAGGCAATGTATTGGTTTTCCATCATATTTCCTTGTCCTTCGGTCCTGACAACCCAACCTTGTCAGCTAGTCAGCAACGAGAGTGAGAGAAAGGACGTAACCAGCTGGCTAGGTCTTGTTACTGTACTGTACTCTAACACTTACATGAATATAATCATTTGCTTACTATCTCTTGCTTGCTTACTGGCAAATGCCTAGCTACATTCTTGTCTAAGGTCAGGTCTAGTGCATATGAATGTATAAAAACAACAAGCAAACAACCAGGCGTGTAAATGCCTGAAACAGCAGACACTATTTGTAGATATACTTTCATCAGTCCGTATAGCATTTTCCTGACACATGGCAAATACAGAACTTGAGAAACAACCACAAATAATTTTCCAGGGCTGTCATTAACATTCCTAATTGCTCGGTAAAGAGGGAATCAAACGGCTAGGCATATTGTTTGGTTGTATTTTGTCCACTAATCAAGTCTACCTGTATTCCTATTTTAAACTGCACGTCAATGGGTCTTTTGGAAACGAGAATATGTAGATTGTATTATTTGCCGGCCAATATTTTGCTAGTTTGGAACTTCTTTGGTTCGAAAGTGTAATACAAAAATGTAGTTTCAAAAACACATAGAACGTTTGTATGCTGCTAACAAGAAATGTACAAACTCTGTCTTCGGGGAAAGACTGAAATCCTTGGAAAATTTACTGGAAGCAAGTACTTCTTTTCATAAAAACATGCAAAAAACCCACAAGGCTTGTTTTTGACATAATGCGTCATGAGGCAAGTTATGACTTAGAAGCAATCACAATAGTAATTAGGGTTTGACAACAGTGTAAAGTGTTAAATTCTGACAATAGTGTTGAGGGTTAAGTAGTGAATGTAGTTAGTGATTATGGTTATGCAGCGACTATAGTTATTAGAGTTAACTTCCTATCTTTCTCCATATGTTATTAATTTTTAAGAGCATTTTCTGGCCTGAAAACTAGTCTACTTGACTCATGACTCTCTGACACTAAATTCTGACAAATACGCTTTTCACACATGCTATTTTCTACGTGCAGGTGTCAGCCCACTATTTTCTAGGAGGCTTTAGTGCCATGTTCTTGTGTGTTGTTTTTGTTTAGGTGACATCTTCTGACTGTACTTTTGCAGTGTGTCATTGTCGTGCACTTTTTCATAAAAAACCAGGGAAAGGAACCGTCCATCTGAAGAAAATGATGGTCCACCTGCTAGGAGAGCATTTCCACTGTTGTTAAGTCCATCATGAGTGTACCACCCTGTTACTTTATTCCTGGTGTTAGTCTCCTTCACGTACACATCACTCCAGTAATGGCTCATCGCCCAACTGTAATAAACAAGTCCTACTAGCTGGTAGAAAATCCCTCTAACAACCATATTTTCCTCTAGGTGGGGGAAGTATGGAAGTAGCCCATCATTTCTTTTTACAATTTCCAGGACAATTACTTCTGGCAGCCTTTCGATTTTTGTGTTGCATGAAGCTGGTGAATTACACCGTACACATTCAGTTATGTCTCCATCTGTTGCAATATCTCTCAGCACTTTGCTGCAGGAAGCTGATAGCCAAGTTGTGCCAGTGTCAGCTGCGAGACGTTGGAAATGCTTTGTAATGTTTACAGGGCTCTTAGTGTCTTTATTGTCAACTCTGTCCTCAGGTATGAAATTTTCTTCCACTATTCTGTAAGTTGCCTGTAACATTTCTTTTGTAGGGTGGGCATGGTCAGCATGGCTTAAACATTGTTTGCTTGTTTTAGTGGAAAATCTAAGGAATTTGCTTTTACTGTCAGATAGTTTTTGTCTTATGGCAGGTAAGATAGCCTCTAGGGAACATTGCTTTCCAAGACCATA